GTCATTTTTGGTAAAAAGTGATATTTTTGACTTCTTGTTAAAAACCAAAATTCCAATTGCTTTGATATTACATATATAGGTACTACATGTGGACCTTTCTCAGATTTGTTCATTTTATGATGATATCCTCAATTCTCTAATTTTGGTGAATATTTTTGTCATTTTTGGTAAAAAGTGATATTTTTGACTTCTTGTTAAAAACCACAAGTCCATTGCTTTGATATTACATATATAGATACTACATGTGGACCCCTCTCAGAGTTGTTCATTTCGTGATTATATCTTCAATTATCTAATTTTGATGAATATTTGTCATTTTTGGTAAAAAGTGATATTTTTGAAATGTTGTTGAAAACAGCAAGTCCGATTGCCATACATACTATACATATTGTTCATTTTCTAATGATATCTTTCTGTTCTTTAATTGAAATGTGCCTTGCTAACAGCGGAGCTATCTCAGCCGAGAGGCTGCTTGTTTATTATTGACATACATATAGTTATTATATGTGAGCATATAATTTCCCAGAAGTTCACCATTATTTAAATCACCATGAACAATTTTGCTGTATCTGCTGTTCACAGACATTATTCATGAAATTTTTTTTTATATTTTGATAAATCTTGCTAAAACAAAGGTACTCCTTACTTTAATAACAATATTGTGCATTTTAATCAATATTTAAGATACTTGAATATTGACATATTATTCCATATTTTCAGATTTACCAACTTGAACAAGATAAGAAACGAATGACAAAAGACATGGACAAGCTGAGACATGAAAGAGATATACTACACAGAAAACTAGGATCTTATAAAGATGAAAAAACAACATTTTTAAACCAAATTGAGGAGGCTAAATGGCAAGTTTGTCAAAAATCTGGTGAGATATCGCTGCTGAAAACGCATCTAAAAGACAGTAAATCTGAAATAAGTCACAAGATGAATGAGGTGATTAATATGAAGTCTAAATTAAAGGACGCTAAAATGGTGCTCGGTGAAAAGGAAAATGAAGTATGTATGTTAAAGGAAAGGTTGTCACAAAAAGATGAAAATAGTGTGCAGGGAGATCTGAGTGAAGAAGGGGACAGTATTGACAAAAGTATTGCGAGTGATGTGAATGATGCTGTAGAACAGTTACAAATCAAACTTTGCCAAAAAGAAAACGAGCTAAGTTCTGAGAAATTTGAAGTTGTGCAACTACAGGAGGCTAGGGACAGGCTTGAAAAGCAGTTGTCAGAAAAAGAAAAAGAGTTTGTAGCTTTTCAGGAATCTATGGGTCGAAAAGGGAACGAACTTAGTCAATCGAAATGCGAGATTTCATATCTACAAGAAGTTCAAGAGAAATTAAGTCAACAGATTTGTGAAAAGAATAATGAAATAGTTGATCTCCAGGATAGTTTGAAACAGTTGCGAGAAAATGATGAAGTAGTGGCAGTTATTAGGGAGAAATTATTGCAACGTGAACGCGAGGTTATTGCATTAGAGGAAAAACTAGGTCAGATTGAATCTGAGAAGGATAGTGAAGTGTCTACGCTTCATCGCAGATTAAGCCAAAAAGAATGTGAAATTTCTGCAATACAAGCCAAGTTTAACCAAATAGAAAGGGAGAAACTTTTGTTGCAGTCCAAAGTTGCCAGGCTAAAAGACAACAATAATGTCGGAACTCAGAAACTAATGGAACAGGATATGATGAAGCTACAGGTGCAAGTCACCAAGCAGGAGCGGCTTCTGCTGGAACAGAACAATGAGTTGTCACTCCAGAAACATAAACATATGAATGAAAACAAGGGACTGCAAACGAAACTCTCAAATATGGAAAAGGACTGTTCCAAGTGGCATGAAAAGGTGATTCAGAGAGAGGGAGAAATCAAAAATGTGCGTGAGAAATTAAATGCCAAGGAGAACGAAATTGCCAGGTTGAAAGGCAAACTAAACCAGCATGAGGGTCGTGAGGCGAGTATTCAGAGTCAAAATCTGTCATTGAAGCGAGACATCGGCAACCTTAAAGAAGAAATTCAGACTTTAAAAAGTGAGAAAATTGCGCTTGAAGCACAGTTAGAAAAAGCCAGGTCTGAAACAATCACAGTGCAGAGAAAGTTTGAAAAAGTCACCAACGAGGTACGCGGTCTAAAAAACCAGATGGATTCAACATTACATAATGGACTAATCAGCCAATCAGATGATGTCAAAGAACCGCCAAAAAGTAGCGTGATTATAGACAATCTTCAGACTGAGGTTCAGAAACTGAAAACCGAACTAAAGAAAACAAAAGATCTGAATGAGGAACAGCAGTCATATTTCGAAAAAGAACGCGACACTTGGCAGGAAGAAAAGGAAAAAGTGATTAAGTATCAGAAACAGCTGCAGTTGAACTATATACAAATGTTCCGTAAAAACAAGAATCTGGAGAAAGAAATCCAGCATCTTATGGTGGAGTTTGAGAGAAGGCATCTAAATGAGGTGGTCGATCATGTCTAAGTTTATAATTACAAACACAGTACTGCCAATGCTATGTGCAGCAAAAT